CTGTAACGCGGTTTCTTTCCTCATGGGAGCCGCATGGCACGCCTGCCCCATGGGGCCCCGCCCCCCGTGGCCCGGGGGAGGCCCCTGGAGCTCCGCCCCCGCCAGCCTCGGAGCTCTGCGCCGGCCTCCAAAGCCCTCCCGCCGCGGGTCCTCCTTGTTAGGCAGGGCCGCGTGAGGTTTCTGCTCCCCGGATGGTTAGCATTTCCCGCGGGCGAGGGACACCATTAGGTGCAGCAGCCCCCTAAGTTGCGGTTCCTTCCTCCAGAAAACACCCCGACGCTGCCGCAGGTGGCGAACTCTTTGTTCGCGGACGCTTCGGCTTTTTCGACGGCTGTCCCGGTGCCTCCTTGGCGCCTTTGCGTTTCCTTCTTTGGCCAGCCCCGCTGGTTCTCGCAATATTGGATATTACGGATTACTGGATCCTTCCCACTCATGGAAATACAGAATCAACCCACAGACCAATCCCCCCGTCCCATGTTTTCTCCCCGAATCTTTCTCCCAGTGAACCCCCTAATTCTTTGCCTGTAGAAATAAGAAGGTGCCAGTTTCCACCATAGATCTTCTGAACTGGTTCCCCCCCTCTTCTTTTTGCCTGGTCCTCTGTCTGAAAGGAAGCTGTGGGCCTTAATGCCACTGATTCCCTCAGGGTGGTTGCTCTTTACTTTGACAGACCCATTGTGCTCATTGTCCTAAGGGGGCTCTGATGCCTTGTGGTGAGTTATTGCCTTCTGGCTCATTGTTCCCTTATGCTAAGAGGGTTCTTACACCTTGTGGTAGCCTATCACTTTATGGTGGGTTTACTGTGGATAGGAGGACATTTCTGAGACTATCTAAGTCTCACAAGTGAAATGGGCAACATTACATTGCTTTGACATTCTGTGATTTGTATAAGAAATCATTTGAGGAAAGATAAGATGCTGAGTCTTCAGAGAAAGCTTAGATAATGCTGGGGTGAGATTTGTGTAAAATAAAGCTCAGGTTGAGTCAGAACTAAATTGAGTAGGGTTGGATATCAGAGGTTACAATATGTAGGCTTCAGGGAGCTGGAAATTTTGAAAAAAGATATTGGGGAGTGGATGAATTATTTAAATTGGCAGAGTATGAAGAAGAATGGGAGGAAAAAAAATTATGTACTGTACAGCTAAGCAAGAAATTGAAGTATCTCCTGCTATTTCACTTGCAATGTTCACATGGTCAAAGAAACACCCATGGGAATCCTTTTCCATTGCCAAGTTTCCTTCCTAGAATGGGAATGACAGGGCCCAATAGTTGGCTGTGGGGAAGGTATGCTTGCTGCCATCTTCCAGCTCACACCATTTTAGATGTTCCCCAAATCCACTTGCCCTTCAGTTTTTGGCTAATAGAAGCATAGAAATGGAATGATCCATTTAGGCCAGACTTCCTTGACCTGTGCATTTACCATATATTGCTTATTGATGAGTACGTTGGAAGTTAATTAGTTCAGGAAAGTTTATTTAGGCCATTGAATTCAACCCCTTGTTTGATATAGGAATCAACTGATTGGATAGGATAATATTAAAATTATCCTAATAAGTGATTCTCCAGCTTCCCTTTGAATTCATTCAATTTAAAGAAGGTTATCACTTCAGTAGATAATCACTTACCTTAACAAATGTCCTTCAACCACATCCAAGGGCAGTTGCAGCTAGGGAGCATGTAATGATGATGGCGCAATGAGGGGTGCAATGGGGTGGGCTGGTGCGCCAAGGCTTTCAGGTTTGCCTAAGCCAGTAGTAGCACAGGTAACTTATAGTAGAGTACAAAAAGAGATCCTACAGCTTTGCCCTCTTAGAACTGGGCTAGCACTGGCATCTTTTGGTATAGCTGCTGCATACCTGTCAGCTAAAATTTATCAAAACATAAGGGTATTTTGAAAATAATTACTTTATAGATGTAGTGAATCCAAATGGCAGAGTACTAAGGATGTGGGGAACAAAGTGGTCTGAGGGAGAAATGTAGCATGAGGAGCCCCCATCACCTGATGGATGTCTCCCATGCACATTTTAAATAACCCATGCAACTTTTGCATTCTGTTTCACCTCCGGAATGTTTAAGTAGCTACTTCCAGCATGGTTGTGCTTACCATCTCTTCTTGGAAATGCTGTATCTGAACATATTGAAGTGAAGTAGGTGGTAGAGAGAGCTGTCATTGGGTAGGTGTATAACCGAGACCTTGATATCTGGCATAGCAACTCTGCTGGCATTTCAGATGACTTTTTTTTTTCTATTCCTGGCATGGGATTGTGATAATCCCATAAGAGGCCTCTTTGTGACTAGAGGCAACCTTGCTCTGTGTGCTGTAGTTCTGTTTGGCGATATGGTTGCATAGAAGGTGCATATATTATTTGCAGGAGGAAGGGTGCCAGCCTATTTTTACCATAGAGGACATACTACTCAAGACTATCTCTTTGATCTTGCATTTGCCAGCCCTCTTATTTAT